AGAAATGGATGTAGAAAAAGCAGAGGGACAAATATTCAGCTGAGGCTTACAGTGTAGCCATAACATTTGTCCTAATGAGGCATAAGTTGCAGTCGCTTTCACTCCAGAAGCATCTTTGCCCTTTTTTAGGTATCCAGAACCTTCTGCCTGTCTCCTCACTACCCTTGTCAGTCTAAGAGTCATTGGATTTTGCCATTTTTATACTTTAAGATTAGATGTGCGAGCGTCTACGAGACAGAAGGGAATGTGCCTAGATTTTGTCAGTCTTGGCTTCCACAGCCTATCTTTTCCTCCCTCCCTCCTGGGGACCAGAGACTGGCTTGTCAGAGCCTGGCTTAACCCTCTGCTCTCCTCCCCCTTTCCTAAAGAATCCTCATGGTTTTGGTTAGTCTGGTCATCTATAGCTCTTGGGATGTTCCCTTAGAGTCGGGACGAAGAAACAGAGCACAGTAGCATGTTATTCAAGGGCCCCCAGGTTGGTAAGCAGTGGCCAGAAGGATGGGCAACTGGAAATTAGGTGGCACCAAGGCCTTTATTACTCACACTGCTTTCCCATGAAATGCTACTATGACTGACTACCAGTTTCCATTAATTGAGTGCTTATTAGGAGCTTAGTACTTATCACTTAATTCTTCTTAGCTCTGCTTTACAGATGAGCTGCTTGAAGCTGGAGAAACCCAGAAACAGGATGCTGCTCATCTTGTTAGCAAGCATGGAGCTGATGTTTGCACTTCCAACCTTGTTCCAATGCTTGTTATCTGACTTAAACTTGTCCAGCTCTAGACCTAAGTTCTTTTCTCAGGAACCCTTGACAAGAATGGGTTGCAGTTCAAGAATATGAGAAGTGAAATATTTTCAAAGTTGCCAAACAATATGTAAGAAATAAATTCACACAGGGCACCTGGGGGGGCTCAGCTGGGTAAGCGTGTGACTCTTGATTTTTGGCTCAGGTCACCATATCACATTCCGGATTGTGAGTTTGGGCCCCACATTGGGCTCTGTGCTGACAGTGCGGAACCTGCTTGGGATTCTCTCTCTTTGCCCCTCTCCGGCTTGTGCACACGGGGATGTGCTCTCTCTTTCTCTCTCAAAATAAACAAACAAAACAAGAAATTCACACGTGGTAGCATTTCCTACAAAAGGAATTCATGATTGCGAAGGGATTACAATATTTCCATTTACATGTGATAATTTTTTTGCCAATTAGCAATAATTACTGTGACTGAAATATTAAAATTTTTTTTAATGTTTATTTATTTTTGAGACAGAGAGAGAGAGACAGATCATGAACGGGGGAGGGTCAGAGAGAGGGAGACAGAGAATCCGAAACAGGCTCCAGGCTCTGAGCTGTCAGCACAGAGCCCGACGTGGGGCTCAAACTCACAGACCGCGAGATCATGACCTGAGCCGAAGTCGGCCGCTTAACTGACTGAGCCACCGGGGTGCCCTGTGACTGAAATATTATATGTATTGTATATCATGAATATGAGGAAACAATGTTTTATGTTTTAGGTGAGGACATTAAAATTCTTTTTTTTTATTTAAGATTTTAGTTTTTTTTTTATGTTTATTTATTTTTTACAGAGAAAGACAGAGTGTGAGAGCAGAGGAGGGGCGCAGAGAGAGGGAAACACAGAATCTGAAGAAAGCCTCAGGCTCTGAGCTGTCAGCACAGAGCCCAACATGGGGCTTAAACTCACGAACTGTGAGATCATGACCCCAGCTGAAGTCGGCTGCTTAACCGACTGAGCCACCCAGGCGCCCCTAAAGATTTTAGTTTTAAGTGATCTCTATACCGAACATGGGGCTTGAACTTACAACCATGAGATCAAGAATCACATGCTCTACTGACTGAGACAGCCAGACGCCCCAAGGAGGGCATTAAATTCTGATCATGCTTTTTCAATCCCTGATTGTATGGCATTTCATCCTAAGTAAAACCAAGTGAAAAAGAACATTATTTCCCACAAAGTTTGAGCAGAGTTCATCCCTGAGTTTTCTGGTGCCTACCTCAACCTTGAAAAACATCTTTAACAATTATTGTTAGCCAACATTTATAATGCACCCCCTTTGCCTCTTCCATTCAGAGACATTCTTTTTGCTGATTAACCTCATTCTTTCTCTTTCTTCTGCTTCCTTATGAGAACATAAACACTTGGCATTTCTCTATTGACAAACATTCCCTGGAAAATTAAGTAAAAAAGGAACATTAAGAAGCAGCTCTTAAACCTCCACTGCCTGTTTTTGCTTTTTTAACAGCTGCCCCATGGCTTCTTCGTCACACCAGGTACTCTGTCTGCTAGGGTGAGAAATGCCTCCATCTTGATGGTGAACCTGAACCATACAATAAAGGAGGGTTTTCAAACTGGGTTCCCCGGAGCCCTTGGGGACTTGACAGGGATCCCTCGGGTGGGCTGGGGGGACAGCAGGCTGTGAGTTATATGTGTGATGGAAGCAGAGCTGAGCTGGAGTTAGGTGGAGGCAGGTCTGCTTTTTTTTTTTTTTTTTTTTTTTTTTAATGTTTATTGTTGAGAAACAGACAGAGACAGAGCATGAGCAGGGGAGGGGCAGAGAATGGGAGACACAGAATCTGAAGCAGGTTCCAGCCTCTGAACTGTCAGCACAGAGCCCGACGTGGGGCTCGAACTCACGAACTGTGAGATCATGATCTGAGCTGAAGTCAGATGTTTAACCGACGGAGCCACCCAGGCGCTCCAAGGTCTGCTTTTATATTGGGTACCATGTACGGTTTTGTAGGAATAAAAAAGTTCTACAGCCACAAAAAAGTTTGAAAGCCGCTGTACATAGGCTTGAATCCCCTCCCAGAAATTTGGAACAGAACCATCTGCTGAACTCCAAAGCTAAGGAAAGGTAATATCCTTCACCAACATCTGGCGTGACAGTAAGGAGTAGTTGTAAAATGATCCTGCAAAATGGTGGGACACGTAAGTTGGTAGTAACAACACAGCAATGGTTATGATGAAGGAAATGTGTGTGGGGGGCCATTCCATCTACTGTGTCCTCCTGAACCTGAAGCCAAGGTCGGCGGTTCTGACAGAGGGACTCTGGCTATCAAACTGGATCTGGCTTGTGCCAGTGGAAGGCATGAAGGTGAGAACCCAGTAGATCAGTAACAACTGTCATCAAATATTTGCTTTTGCTTTAAAAATCAACTCCATCCCCTTCTTTTATAACTGTGTTCTCTTTAATCTTTAAAAAATTTTTTTAAAAAGCTTATTCATTTTGAGAGAGAGAGAAAGAGAGACAGAGAGTGAGTATGCGAGCAGGGGAGGGGCAGGGAGAGAGGAAGAGAGAGAATCCCTAGTAGGCTCCCAACTGTAGGCTCATGAACTGTGAGATCATGACCTGAGCCGAAATAAAGAGTCGGACATTTAATCGGCTGAGCCACCCAGGCGCCCACAACTGTGTTCTCTTTATGCCTACTTGCTGACTAAACAATTACCCCTTGAGATTCATACTGTACGCATTAAAAATGATCTGAAAATACCACTATCTGCAAGTCTCATATTTTGTTATTAATGTTTCCTTTTCATGAAGTTCTGGATATTTGAGTCTTATCTTCTAAACTCTAGATTCTTTTTTTTTTTTTTTTTAATTTTTAATGTTTATTTTTGAAAGAAAGAGAGAGACAGAGACGGAGTGCTAGTGGGGGAGGAGCAGAGAGAGAGGGAGACACAGAATCCAAAGCAGGCTCCGGGTTCCGAGCTGTCAGCACAGAGTCCGACATGGGGCTCGAACCCATGAACCTCGAGATCATAACCTGAGCTGAAGTTGGACGCTGAACTGACTGAGCCACCTGGGCACCCCTAAACTCTAGATTCTTAAAAAGCAGGCTCTAATTTCGTTCATCTCTGTACTACTGCTTGGAAGTACCTAACATAGTACAGGCATACCTCAGAGACATCATGGGTTTGGTTCCACCCTGCTGCCATAAAGCCAATATTGCAATAAAGCGAATCGAATTCATTTTTGGGGAGGGGGGTTTCCCAGTGCATAGAAAAATTATGTTTACATTGTACTATAGTCTATTAAGTGTGCAATGGCATTATATCTAATTTACATACTCTACTTAACAAACACTTCGTTGACACAGAGACATAGTGCGCGATTGCTGTTGGGAAAATGGCACCGACAGACTTCCTCGATGCAGGGTTGCCCCACACCTTCAATTTGTAACAAATTGCAGTATCTGTGAAGCGCAATAAAACGAGGTCTGTCTGTACCTTGCTTATGAAGCAAGCACTAGATAAATATTTGGGAATGAAGGGCTCCCTGTCTTATTACCTGGAAATCGGTCGGCTGCTTAGTACCCCACGGCCCATCAAAACAGACACGCATAGATTTTAAATCGTTCTTAATCCAAATGGGTTTTAATTCTGTTTTCTGTTCTTTCCTTTCTGTCCAGGACAACCAAATAAAACCCCAAACAGATGGCTCAGCTTTCTTGGTGTGGAGGGAAATGTAAGGACAAACAGCCTCTGTGATGTCAATTTTCCTTTCGCCCCGATCAGAGGAGACTCGTGGAAAAAAAGTCACAAGATATCGTGGCAAATGGGCTCCTAAGGTGTGAGGACTACCCCACTCTGTGTCGGGAGCGTCCAACTAATCTAAAAACCCAGGCCACCAGAAAGTTGCCCGGTGGCTGATATAGCTCAGCCTTTCCAGGTATTAACTTCCAGATTACTCTTGCTCTGTAAAAACACATACTGTCTGAAATAGATCTGCTATGGTGATGATGATGATGGTGATGATGGTGATGATGGTGATGAGGATGACGACAGCAGGAACACCCACTGAACACTATACGGTGGGCATTGGCCGAGCCCCTTATGCCCGTGATCTCACTTACACTTCACAACCGCCTTACGAGGTAGGGCTCTTACGACTTCCAGATGCCACGTGATCAGCCCACACACGACCCAGCAAGGCAGAGCCACTTGACCAAGGACTCAGGGCTTCTACTGCCGAATGGGACTTACCTAGGAAGCACAGAGTTAGGCGGCCTGGATTTTGCAGGGGATGCGACTTTCGGTTCTGGCCCAGAGCTCCCCGAAGGTCCTGGCAGAGAGTCCTGCGCTGGCCCCGGTTGGTTTGGAAGTACTTCCCTCGCCGAAGTCAGGAGATGCTCTTTATCTTTAACTTCTTTTTCGCGGGACTTGGCTTTGTGTTCTGCCAGAAGGAGGTCAAATTGCTTTTTCCGGCCTGGGACTGCCCTCCGATGGCTTAGCGAATGTGTCTAAGGAGAAGAGAGATGAAAAGCACAGCCTCTTTGATCAGCACATAAACCTGCTTCCCCAGGCCCTCCATTTCAGAAACAGCAATTCATGGGAATTTGGAGGTGCTTGAAAAGTCAACTTCAAGGCAACGGCTCCTGTTCTGTGGCTGGGAAGAGGCAGACACCACACAAACGCAACCATGCCCTACACTCCTGGCGTTAAGAAGCCAAAGCTTCCTCCAGAAAATGGCTTAGGATGACCAGCTTCCGCGCAGAGCCCACGGAAACCTCTCTGGATGAAAGGCAACGGTGAGGGCGCGCTAGAGTTAATCCAGGTGCAGGTGGGAGGCTGGCTTTGGCCCGGACACACACGGCCGGCCACCGGGCAGAGGGGGCCACGGCCTCGAGCCCGGGGAGCACTAGCACTTCAGTGTGAAATACGGGGGCCGGGGGCTACCCGATGGCGACCGCCTCGCGTCGGCTGTCCCCGTGGCCACCCGGCGTGGCCGGATCAGGGGCGCGGCCGCTCGTCCTCCCCTCCGGGGCTGCCTTTCAGGCGCTGCCGCCGTTGCCGCCGCTCCCGCATACATTAAAACGTAGCAGGGTTTAGAACCGCCTGTGAGTGCCTATAAATACAATTTACTGTCTGGCCTCACAAGTAACAGGGGAAGCCTATTTTTTTTTTTTTTTCCT